TTGCGCTGGAAGTGAACCCATGTCTGGAGAAAATAACTGCATTAACTAATTTCACAGTACTCCATACAAGGATGTTTCCTCACTTAAGGCAAAGTATACAATACACATGCATTAAAAAGAAAAGAAAACAAAAAAAAATCCTTCAGGTTTCAAAAAAAAATAAAATTAAATCAGATGGGCTCTGGCATTAGTTACTTAAATTTGTCTCAGCTAAAACAGTTAAACACATGGATATGACATTCTGCAATATCTTTATCTTTAGTTTGTCAAGGTTTTTAAATCCCTCTTGAGCTAGAGTGCCATTTTTAGCTTGGCTAGGTCAGAATGACACTGAACGATATGAGTGATGACACACTAGACAGCTATCTGGACAGAGATGTCATCAGCAAGCCAGCTGTGCTAACACCTGTATGTCCTGCACAACTGATCCCTGGGAACACAGATCAAGAAAATCCAGTTATTGGGGATCTAAACAAAGAAGATGCTTAAAGTATTTGCAAAATAGCTCCCTAAACAACAAACGGGATTATTCAAAGGAAAGGGAGAAAACAATCTCTCAATGCAATCAGCACGAGGCTATTAAGATAAAACAAGTGTTACAAATATTTTTTTCCATGGGATAATCTTAAGAATTAACAACAAAATATGCTTTCAAAATGTTGGAAAATGTTTGGTGTTTTCCTGTTGGTTTCTGTACCTACTGGTCTGTTTCACTTGTGGCAGGTGCCAGGTTGGTAGGCCAAAGCCAAGAATAGGTTCAATCACCTAAGAACAGCTTCCAAAATCTGCCACTTTCCTGCCAGGATTGTTTGAACACTGCATTTGTATTTCCAGCCCAAGTAAAAACAAGGTCATAATTTAAAAAAAAAGAAGGAAGGAAGGTACATTAAAAGGCATACCCAATTACAAGGGCACTAAGCTAACACGCTGTACCAATAAACAGTGAATAACAATAAGTACATCTTTGCATAATCCCAAATAAAGTTCCCTGGCCCTTTAATTTAAAACATTTTAATTTACTGAAAAATTTGATTGATTTGGATGTTCTGATCTATCTGTATTCACTATGGATAATTCAAGTCCTCAACACTGCTTCAAGGTTCAATACACCGCTAAAGATACTAGTGGCACAAAATGAATACTAAAATGACACAACGGTGCCTCCATGCTGAGCACCAAACAACATTTCTCTTGATACAGTCATATTTGGTGCTGACCGTACTGCATTAAGATAAACAAACCTGAATTATGTGGTGTGAAAATCAGCAGAATTCTCAAAATATTCTCTGCTAGAGAACAGGAATCCCCATCTTAAGTAGACACGAGGCTTTACTAAGAAAGACAAACACGTGTGTCATATTCTTCTCCATGTTTTGGTATCTGAATGGGAAGTGCCTCCTGATTTCAGACTGTGGCAAGTAACGTTTTCAAAGATGGACAAATAAAAAGTCTCTTTGGGAAAGTAGATCCAATGTAATGTGGGGATCACTGTTCATGAATCTATTTCCACCATTTCCATGCATAAGTAAGGTGGTTCCCAACATATATAATACCCAACACATACCTCCACTTTACTTTCCATACTTTCCTTCTCTTAGAGATACACTACAAGATTTTATGTTAGGAAAAATAACAGGGCCCCTGAGCAAAACAGATGTTGGTTTCAGCAGATATTCCCAAGTGAGAGCTGATACAGAACCTCAGTTTGCTGTATAGACCATAAAACCATTAAGATTTGGTACAAATTACGTACATCCTGGTTACGTTTAAAAGACTAGTGCTGTTCTTCAATCTAGCCAGTTGCTCGTTGAATGCTGATCAACTTTTGTAAGATTATGTACGAAAGAGTAGGTCTATTGGTTTCAATGAAATTTCCTTCCAGTTAGTCACACTTTTAACAACCACGAAGAACAAGCGTCTGAAATCCATAATACGATCTGAAGGGCAAACCTCAACATCAGAAATTTGGAACGCCTTTCTTTAGGAGAGAATTGAAATTTGCTCGCTGTCAGTATATTTGAATAGGAAATTGCTTGGATAGAATGAAAAAAGGGATGAGACTTAAAAAAATAGTTCTTGGGAAGAGGAGTCTGTTGATTTCTTTATATTAGGTTGATTTAGACTTTGCTTTTAGACAGTATACTAGAAATTTCAATGACGGTCTACTGTTTATATGTGTTTATTATATGTATTTTTTATTATAGAGAGACTGTGAGTTCAAGTCCTGTCTTAGCAATGAAAGCCAGCTGGGTGACCTCGGGCCAGTCACTCTCTCAGCCCAATCCACTTCACAGGGTTGGTGTTGTGGAAACAACAAGAGTTCACCTCCTTGAGTTATTTGTAAAAATAATAAAGATGGAATACAAACAAAATAAGGCTTATTATCAATATTTAAATTATTGTGTTTATTTTATATTATGTTTTGCTACATTTTAATGTATTGTTACCCTCCTACGCAAGTCTCCAGGTTGAGATGGGGGGGCATATAAATCATTTCAATAAACAAAGAAACAACTGAATAATTATTTTTCCATCATTTATATAAGATGGATGGAAAACGGGCAAGGCAAGGCAAGATGTGAAATGCCTCATGTGCAGAGATGGCAATTACCCCCAAGTTGAATTATGCTAAGTGGGTGGAAACACTTTGGATTCAATGGGTAAAATTTGGTATATTAGTAGACAGGTTTCTGAAATGGGAAGGTGCTGGCAATGGCAAATAATCAACTCTTTCACTCTCTAAAACAGCATATTTTATGTAACAGATGTAACGTGTAGCCAAAATCCAGGAACAAATATAAAACATAAGGTCTTAATTGCAAGACTAAGGAATTATTTTCTGAAGGACCAATGTTATTATTTCTCACTATATCTGTTTGCAGTACCATATTTCTGATCAAAGGATAGATGATAGACAGACAGACAGACAGACAGACAGACAGACACACACACACACACACACACACACACAGAGAGAGAGAGAGAGAGAGAGAGAGAGAGAGAGAGAGAGAGAGAGAGAAGATGCATCAGCAATAAACTAAGCTGTAGAGAAGAAACTGCATGAAGGGTTTTCAACAACATAACTCAACCTAGTAGCCACCAGACTACTGGAACTTCAGCTCCCAGAATCCATAGCCAGCATGATTATTTGATTGGGTACTAGGAATTCAGAGGGTGGTAAATTGAAGGCTAGATTAGAACCAGGGAAAGAAGAAAAGGTCGCCAAATCCGAAGAGAATGAGAAACTCATCCTCAGCTGAATAGCTTGGCAAAACAGATTAATGTTCATTTCATTCGAAAATATAAGCTACTGTGTTAAATAAGCATTGTAAGGCTCTGCTAAGCTTGCTAAGACATTTTAAATAGTTATTTGAGCTCCCCAAATTCTAGCACAGCTCATCTTAGAAGGCAAATAATTAAACAATTGTTCTGAGTTTATTTCTCAAGTGTGCCTTCTTAATGTTCTCATTTGGCTTTCCATTTGCGTGTGATACAGAACTGATCACATGTAAATATTACAACAAATAATGGAGCATGTGCCAATGCACACATGCACAGGGACATGGTAGATTGGCTACTCTGGCTCCCTCAAGGTGCAGCCCCTAAGCTCTTCCACCACAATCTCTGCGACAGCTGAGGCGGAGGGGGGGGGGAGGTATTGCATCGTATCTCTTTGTGTGTGTGTGTATGCGAACTCCTTTATTGGAAAGAAGCACAAATTCTTTTCCGAACACTAAGACTGAAAGTAATTTGCCCATTTCCACCGGTGATATGAGGAAACTGACAGCAACATTAGAGATCGAAAACCCAGCGAACTGTTGTCACTCTCAACATCACAGGCTGTATTTATTGAACTTAAAGGATGGAGTCATTTAAAAGAACTTCCGTTTGGAAAATATCTGTTGTATACTCATATTTTCTGTCTTTGTGTTTGTGTGTGAGAATGGGGGGGGGGAGAGAGAGAAAAAAGAAGCAACATGGTCAAAATGTCAGTGTCAGCTATTGCTGCAGATTAGATTAATTCATTCTTTTGCTTTTGGTAACTTCACTACGTCAGTGTTTTTCAATATACAAATAAAAGCCTATGTGGGCAACATTTGTATCATATAGTTCCCTTCCCTTCTGTTCCATTACATTCATTCATTCATTTTTGTTTTTAATATGGCTGGGAATATTGAAAGGATTTACCAAAGCATACCGAATCTGCATTGTGATGGTTTTTTTTAAAAATGAAACATTATCTATAAAGTCTCTCTCTCTCTCTCTCTCTCTCTCTCTCTCTCTCTCTCCTCTCCCCTCTCTTTCTCTTTCCTCTCCCTCTTTCTCTCTTTCCTTTCTCTCTTTCCTCTCCCCTTCTCTCTTTCTCTCTCTCTTTCCTCTCCCTCTCTCTTTCTCTTTCCTCTCCCTCTTTCTCTCTTTCCTTTCTCTCTTTCCTCTCCCCTTCTCTTTCTCTCTCTCTTTCCTCTCCCTCTCTCTTTCTCTTTCCTCTCCCCTCTTTCTCTTTCTCTTTCCTCTCTCTCTTTCCTCTCTCTTTCCTCTCCCTCTCTCTCTTTCCTCTTTTTCTCTTTCCCCTCCCTCCTCTCTCTCTCTCTCTCTCTCTCTCTCTCTCTCTCTCTCTCTCTCTCTCTCTCTCACACACACACACACACACACACACACACACACACACACACTTTCTTGCAAACAATCTGGAAAATCAGGCCAGAAAAGTAACTAAAATATTAATGCATAGTATTATTTTGATTTTTTTTGGTACAGTACAACAGTAAGAGAGCATTATCACAAAAATTTAGAAAGAGTATATTTTCTAAATTTTTAATTGTAGAAACAGACCTATATTTGCTAGGACATGATAGTGAGAACTTCTGTCCGTATATTTTGACTGGTTATTATTTTACAATTCTATTTCTCAAGTTCCATCAGCATTTTCTAGCAGAAAAAGCACAATTTCTTGAAATACAGCTGCAGATGGTAAAGCATTATCAAAAAATATTACTTACATTTTGAAAGATAGATTCCACTGATTTCATATGACTAACAATTAATTCTTTGTCTCTGTTGAATGAATAAAAAGATCGCGTTCTTACTGCTGTTTTATTTTTAAAGTTTTATTTTGTTGCTTTTACTCTTGTATTGTAATCTATTTTTATAGCGAATGTTTTTGTTAGTTACCTATCGTTTGCATTATAAATTTAATTTTTAATTGTATGATATTTCTTTGAACAGGAAGCTGAAGAGCTTATAACATGTTTATATCTGACATTCATCATTACCTTTGCCCCAAGGTTTGTTGTCTTCAGATAATGTCAGTGTCGTATACAAAAATGTTTAGCTGAGTTAACTTATAAAGTAACTAGCACAAGCAATACTTTCCATTCCTTTTCTGCTGCTTTAGAGTCAACTCTATAATGTTTGTGGTATACAGTTGACTGATAAAACTTCTCCATGCAAAGGACAATATCTAGTCTGTTTGCCAAGGATATCAGAGATAGCAACGGAAGGGATGGGTATCTTTCTACGTTTTGTTACCAAACTTCTGCACATGCTTCCAGAAATTCAGAAAATGATTCTCGTGGTTGAAAAAAAATTCTAGAATTCTCTACAAGTACAAATGAATAAGAATTGTTGAGGATAAAAATACTAATGTTTTATCATCACAATCCATGAATTAAATGCATGAGAAAAGAACCTGACAGATACATGAAGTGACTGTATAACTTCAATTTTTGGGGGACCCCTGAAAGAACTGAAGTAACCAGCAGACAGCAAGATCAAAACAATCCATTTTGTCCAGATGAAGAAACCTTTCTAACTTTGAATGTTTTTTACTCATAGGATGTTTGGCAGAACACAGTTTGAAATGTACCTGAAAGTCTCTGGAAACTGTGTAATGTCTTCTGGGTACTAGTATGTGGGTACATCTATGTAACACCTAGTTTTCTACATGGGCTATGATTCAAAATGATGGGCTAATGATGATTACCTCATGGAGTTTTCATATGCACTAGTCCAGTGGTGGCGAACCTATGGTACGTGTGCCAGAGGCGGCACTCAGAGCCCTCTCTGTGGGCACGCATGCCGTGCACCGAAGATGGCGAGGGACTGGCCCCTCCCGCCCTGGCCCCTGCCACCCAGTCTGCCATGACCACAGCGGCCACGCCTACCCGGCACCCAGTGATAAATAAGTGGGTTTGGGGTTGCAGTTTGGGCACTCGGTCTCTAAAAGGTTCACCATCACTGCACTAGTCTTTAGCAGTATGCCTTTTTATCCATTTAAATCTGAAGAAACGCTTGACACAAGGAGCGTATCTAAAAGGCTATTTTATCTGTTTAAGTGTAGCTAAAAAGTTGCGGGTTTTGTCATGTGTGAAAGCTCTGCTAGGTGTATCTTCTGGTATATGCTGTTTTGATTACCCTACAACAGGGGTGGGAAACCTTGGCTCTTTTATGACTTGTGGACTTCAACTCCCAGAATTCAAGTCATAAAAGAGCCAAGGTTCCCCACCCCTGCCCCAAAAGAATGATGGGTTCCTTGGTTTTCTATGCATTTACTACTTGCCAATTCTGAGCTTTTAATCAAGCGAGAGACAGAAATGACCGTACTTGTGCACTGTGACAACCTCTGAGCCAATGCGTGCTCGTAGGCACATGAGTATTTTGACACAGGTGCTGTACTGTTCAACTATCATAGACCGCCCTATACTAATGTCTCTTCCCCTCAAAACCACTTTGACCTTTGGTGAGATGGTTTGCTCAACCCAGGTGGTAGATCCTAGGGGTAAAACTCAAGACAAGTTCATGCTTCTGTTGATCACATTGAAGAAATGATTGAAAAGAACCATTAATATGTTGAACTAAGTTCTTTTTTCTTCAAGAGGATCTTTTACTACCATTTCAAAGACAGGCAGCTGTACTTTTGTTTTCCAGCGCCCGCATTATCCAGGACTAAAAATCCTTTGCATGAAAGTAAGAATTGATCTTTTGTCTGTTTCAAGTGATCTCCCCAAGGGCCCCCCGTGCTCACTTGGCTGCCATGCGGAGGGCACTCTCCGCATCATGGATGCTCTGTTCCAGTCGACGCTTGTCCTGCTCCAGCTGGGTAAGATGTCTATTGAGCTGACGCAGAGATTGATCTTTTCTCCTCAGCTCCATCTTTGCCTCGGAGAGACTCTGAGAGCAGACAGAAAACAGAGTTACTTGTCAGCTCTGATAATTAACTTCAATTTATGCCATAGGCTATTAAACAAAGAGGAATAGAGACTGACGGTGAAATAGATTGGGGCTATTTTCAAAGAAAAACAGCAGTTATTTCCTCTTAAAACATCCAGAATATTGCAGATTTAATTGCTTTATAACAAAAAAAAAAGAACTGTCCTGATCTGTACAGTCACTTACGATAAAGGCACTCCATAAAAAAAGTATTATCTTAGGGTTCATTAATGTGAATTAAAAGAATTATGCTGGATTACACCAAAGGCCTGAATAGTCCAAGATTCTGGACTAGTCCAAGCACAATAGCTAGATTTTATAGGAAGCCTACATGATCCTTAGGAGAAAAAAATACTCTCCCAAAGCAAAGAACTTGGAGCAACTGGAGCCATAGGTGGAAAGACAAAGAAAATTGCTGCTTGGAAAAGCAGGGGATAAAAGAAATAATTGGAAAAAAAAACTACCTAGCCTACAGCTTTTTTAACTGTTCAGTAAAGTTCCAATTATAAACATGACGATATACAAATTTTTTTTGTGATTTTTCAAAATGGATTGCAGGTTCTCTTCCTTCAAGGTTGCTCCAGGATAGGCTCTAACAGTCAATGCTTCAACTAGAAAATTAGCTCAGATGGATAAAATGCAAACTATTTCCCAAAGGAGGAACAACTAAACAAGTTTGCATGCAAAATGCAAACAAGTCTTTTATATGAATTGCTGTAAGGTTCTATTTTTCAAAGGCTTCTAAACCGCTGTGGCACAATTTCAACTCAAAGCTTCTTTTTATTTGGCTTTCTCAACTGTTGGACGGTCTGACAATTGTTACAGACATTCTTCTACTGTCAGCACCACATTTGCTTCTTGGTAAAATGCTTTCTTCTGTATTGCATTTAATACTTATTTGCATGTAGAGCTAATTTCTAAAGATACTTTTTCATAAATGAATTTTATTTTGACTACTATGATTATTACTAAAGGTTTTCTGTTGCAGGAATAAATTACTATACACTTTGCTGACAAATTAAAAAGCTACTGTATACATTTCATAATGGAGCCAGGAATTATATATGCTACCAACAGTGTGTGAAAAGTTGGCACTGTACTGAATGCCTAGCAAATCGATACAATGCGTGATGTTTTTAGGAAAAGTATGACATGTCTGTGTTATTATAATATGCTATATACTTTCCTTAGACATTGTATATAATACCTAGGCATTATGCAGAATGACAGGAACTATTTTGGCAAAATATGAAAAGACAATCATGAAAAGGCTAACCCTAACCCTTTATTGAAAAGACACATATGAAAATGAAAGAAGAAATGCAAAATAAAGTATAGGACTTTCAGAAAAACAAGAGAAAAAGACTACCATGACCTATTTGTTGCAAGGAGAAAAGCTAGAATGGCATTTTAGCAGGAGTATTTTATACTTTGCCTGTTTGCCTTTTGCCACTGCATAGAATGCTTAGGAAATGTGGGAAATATTCAGTGTTTCATACTTGGATGTCCCATTTTTGGCATTCTATAGATTTCCTAAGCCAGTGGTGGCGAACCTATGGCAATGCCTTTTTCAGTGGCATTGTAACTTGGAGCAGTTACTAAATGAATGGTGGTAAGTCAAGGGCTACCTGTAAAAATGGACAATTAAAGGAGCAACTCTGCATCCTTGCTTAGCTACTTTTAAGGTAAATATTGAAGCCGACATCTCCTAAAGTGAAGCACCTAACCCGCCTATAAGTGCTTAAGTCCCGTGTCATAATTAATCAGAGAAGACAGCTATCATTAATTGTGTCCCAATTTAGCACACTTGACAAGTTTCATCTGACAAGATGCGAAAGCATCAGATATTTATTTCCATCACTGGTCTTCTATGAGGTGTTAATTGCTTTTGAAAACAAGACATCAACATAAGCTGTTACAAGACCATCAAGTGAAAACCTAAGACCAACTTGAGCAGGCGTGTCCAACTCACAGCCCACAGGTCACATACGCCCAGGGATAGCTAGCAAAGTGGCTCCACAAGATCATAAACTTTTAACATTATGTGACTGATATATATTAACTATATTATATATTTTATATGCAGCCCAAAACAATTCCTCTTCACTCAGTGTGGCCCAAGCAAGCCAAAAGGCAAGCCTAGAACACCCATGAACTAAAGCAAGGGTGTCAAACTCAATTTCATTGAGGACCGCATCAGCATTGCAGTTGCCCTCGAGGTGGCCAGGGTGGGTGCGGCCTACTGGGTGGGTGTGGATGGAATGGGTGTGGCCTACTGGATGGGCGTGGCCAGCTCTACATCGTTCACGTCAAGGGTGTCTGTGGGAGCCTGGGCAGGAGTGGGACAGATCTGAGGGTCTCTGGCAGAAAGGGATGGGACCAGGGCAGATCCCATCAAGCCGGATATGTGAAGTAGGCGAGGGCCATTTGCTGGCCAATTCCAGGCGATAGTGCATTTCTTCATTCCTCACAAAGGGTGACACCTCCCCAGCATGCACCCAGGGGGCGGGGGCGACGTGACAGGGGCTGGTTCCTCGCTGTTTCCAGACGGCCTTGTGGAGCTAAGACTGAATGCATTTCAGCATAGATGGCCATCACAAAATTGTACATTGGCTCCCAGCCGGCCTGGGTCAGGGCCATGGCAGTGGGGGCCGTTCCCTCACTGTTTCCAAGATGGCTTCGCGGGCCACATGAACCCACTTCGTGGGCCACATCCGGCCCCCGGGCCTTGTGTTTGACATGTCTGAACTAAAGCATGCGTGATATAAACAGACAGAATAATTTTCTGGCGTCAGATTCTTTCTGGTCACACATACTACTCCAGAAATGTTTTCAGAAGAAAGTTTCTTCCTTATATTTAAGTCCTGGTCTTCAAGGGTTAAAGATGAGCCATTAAAACTGTTGAACCACCGGTCTGCAGTATTTTAAAGTCATATATTTTCTGTTGCTAAATCTTCCTCCTCCTTCCCTCCACCATCCTTTTCTTCCAATTGATCTAATTAAAACCCCTGATAAACTTTATGGACTCTAATATTTCCAGCTGAATGACTGAAACCAAGAGGGTGGGCCTCCAGGCAGCAAGGAAACAATGATAAGCAGCAGGTTAGCCACTAATTTCTCAACCAGGGTAGATTGGGGAAGGGTGATGTTCTGCTATCCCAGAAAGTGTTCAGGAGAGAATAGGATAAATCAAGTTTAATAACGCTGGTCCTAATTGTTCCCCCAATGCTCAACTCTAATTACTTGGAGAAACTCTCTTGACTGTCACCTGATATTAAGTTGTTGGAAGCCGCATGTGGAACAGTGAGATAATCAATAAACATTTAGAGGGGAGAAGAATGAAGATCCCCGTTAAGCGGTGGGAACTGGCAGCACCCAAAGCCCTTCTGCTCATGAGAAAGCCTATGGGAGAATCACCGAGATTGCAAAGCAATAAATCCAAAGCGCCGTTTTTTGGGGGGCCTTGAGGCAGGAGTGCGTCTGAGGAAAAAAAAAGGTTAACACGGTCACCCTAATTACAGCCCACTCTCACATGCTTCTGTACAGAAGCGAAGACAAGCCAATTAGGTAGAAAAGAAGATAAGAGAAGTTTTATTTGTATACTAATTAAACCCCTGATGAAATTAAAGGAAAAACATACAGCTCTGTAATTGTGTCTGAGAAAGGTCACTTCAGGTTCACTTATCAGAAAAGCACAGCCTTGAGATATTTCACTTAATCCACAATGTAGCCGTTTATTTTGCTCCCTGGGCCTTAATATTTGCAAAAAGAAGAAAATTTCAAAGCTTGATAACACGTTTATCTTGAAACAGGGCCACAGACTAGTTCAAACTGTTCAAAAGTTGAAGCTGAATAAGGAGCCGGGTGTGACTGAAAAAAACAAAACAAAAATAAAACAAAGCCCCATTCTGGATTGCTCGCTTATAATAGAGCTGAAATGGCGAATACTCTTTTGGACAGGGCAAAAAACTTTTAAAACTCATTTTAATTAATGTGAGCCCAATTATTCTACTGTTAGATAGAGCTGATATTTCAACCATCAGGACTGCCATGTCCATTTGTGATAGGGTTAGTTGCTACCCCTTACTCTCTCCCCACACTCCAACGCATGAGCATTTTTTAAAGGAACACGGCAGAAAGCAAAATACAAGGAATGACAGCAACCCAAACACCTTGATGACACTATTCTTACATGCACCTCACTAAAATTTAAGCAGGGTCAGATTTGGGTTGTACTTGGAAAGAAGATTGGGAAATGCCCGTGCTGTGGGCCAAACTGGGAAATAATAATAATAATAATGAAAATGTTCCACACAAAGGCAATCTGCAAAATCTGTACTGTTACCAAGGAATCCACATAGATTCCTTGGTAGCAGGTATATGAATCCTCCATATTGGAAATTGACTTAAAGGAGATCTTACCTTAACAGTTATCACCACGTGTCGATCAATAATTTTCTACACAAAAGAGAAGCAGGTGGCACAAAGCAACTATACCTACCTCTGAGCAGAGTACTGGAAAAATCCACTCAGCAACATGTCTGGCTATTCCTTTTGAAAAGTGCTATGCGGAATGGCTGCAGCTTAGAGATCTTAATGCTTCAGAAAATGAGACTGGGCCAGGTACCTAAATTCTACTCAAGCATGAACCAGGTACCCACTTCAAAGGGGTGACAAAATCAAAAAAGCAGTATTAGTTCAGAACAAGGCTCAGTGGTTAAAGATGTTGAGCTTGTCAACTGGAAAGTTGACAGCCTGGGTTCGAGAGCTCCTGTTATTTGCCCCAGCTCCTGCCCATCTAACAGTTCAAAAGCTTGCAAATGCGAGTAGATAAATAAATACAATTTTGGTGGGAAAGTAACAGTGTTCCATGCACCATGCTGGCCACGTGACCATGGAAGTGTCTTCGGACAATGCTGGGTCCCTTGGCTAAGAAATGGAGATGAGCACTGTCCCATAGA